GTCTTAGAATGTATAACTTTGCTATTCCTGTTATTGTGGTAAATAGTTTGATTCACAAGGATTAGGTGGACTCCAAGATCCCAGCTACAAAAATCTGTCTGTTTCCACATTTATTTATTTCATGTATTCAATTATTTCCACTATTCACAAATGACTGCAGATAGCCTAATGGTTAGGTCCTAAAAATTCCAACATAAATTAGAGAAAATTCCTGCCCTCATGGAGCTCAGTTTAGTAGGGGACATAGAGAAATAATAAGGTCTCTGTGGTAGGGAGAGTCTCATCCTCCCTGGAGGGCTAAACCCTGGAGGTTTAGCCAAAAATGAGCATTTCCATTTGATTTTTTTTTATGAAAGTACTGGGGATTGAACCCAGGACCTTGTGCATGCTAAGCATACACTTTACCACTGGACTATACCCTCCTCTCATTTGATTTTGACATGCCACTTCCTAGGTGATAATATGAAATGTTCCTTCCCCCTGCTCAGTAGCAGTATATAATAAATTACATCATATGTAGATGCATCAATGTTAGTCTTCAGCGAAGCTCTGTACTTACTAAGTCCCAGCACTAAGTCCTTGAACAGGTATTAGGGACAAGTGCATCAGTTAGGGCTCTTTCCAATGCAAACGACAGAAAATTCAATTTCAACTGACTTTAGTTAAAAGAGGATTGATTTACTCACAGAAGTTGAGGGTCAGGTGATAGGTCTTGCTCCAGGAACAGTTTGATCCAGGCTCAAATGTCTTCAACACCCAATTCTCCTTCTCCATCTCTTGGATCCACTCTCTCTGGGTTGGCTGTATTCTCTCACAGACTCTTGCCTATGGTGGGAGTTCACATCTGCATCCTGAAACCCTTTGCCCTGAGAATTTAGGATTCTAATAAAAAAAAAAAAGCCAGAAATACACATAGATTATCTTTGTTTGCCCTTCTTTTTGCCTTTTCTTGGGACAATGAACAACACACCTAGCAGGAGACCTGTTTACAGAGATGGGAAAGGAGGAGAGAAGCAATAGCAGAAAATACAGGAAGAAAAAAAGTGTAGACATAATTTAGACTCAAAATAGTATCCCAAGGATTCACACACATGATATTTCAAATTAGAAATACAAAGTTTTATTTTTTCTTTTCTTCTCTATCCCCCCCACGGCAAATAAGCCGGTGAATGAGCTGCCCTTATAGAAGAAGTGTGATGTAAATTAAGTCTTGACAGCTATTATATGCCACCCTTCTTTTTAGCATGGAATTTATATATCAGTCACAGTTAAGTATTGCCCTGCTCTGACTAATGAACAGTAAAGCTTATAATATTTTGTGTTTATAGTTTTGAACATTATATTCATGAAAAAAGGATTTTTTTTTAATGTGCTGGTTTCCTTCTGCTTTTCTGAGGACTGAACCCTATATTGGCACATTTAATATAGCATGTTATAAATAAATAGCACGTTAAAAAATAAAAAAAAAATTTCTACTAAAAGAAAATCAAGGAATAATAGTGTTTTCCATGTATATAATCCAATAATGCCCTTCCATGGGGTGTATCGAGTCAGGCTCCAACCAGAAAAACAGAAACTGCTCTAAAGACGTTAACACACGGAGAATTTAATTCAAGGAATTTGTAAGACAGGTGATAGAAGGGAGAAGAGAAACCAAAAAGTGATTTTGAATAGGAAAACACCACTACAATTCTTAAGTGGGAGGAATAAAGGGAAAAGACAATGTTACTCGAGCCCAGGGTCAGGAGGGAGACATAGGGCATTTGGCAGGAGCTGGGCGGGGAGAGGGGGCGCGGAGAATACCCTGGCTTTCCCCATCCTCCAGCCCTCCCTTTTCCAGCTCTTGCTTTCCATTGGTCACACCCAGCTGGTAGCCCAGTCTTAAGGGCAGAACTGGCTCCCCTGTGATACAGACTAGAAAGCGGTAAAGAAGGGCCAGGAATAGATCAGAGCACAAACAGACTTGGGACCCTGAACCCTCACAAAGAATTTTTAAAAATTCACTGCTAACAAATCCTGGTTTGATGTTATAATTTATACAGAAAGAAAAAAGTTGTTATGATGGATCCCACCAAGGAGTTACGAAAGGCTGTACAGCTTAGGGATAAACCATTAAAATCAGGACAATCTTACCAGAGGGTCAGTTGTGTATATCTGTTCATATTTAGAACTGATGTTGGAAATCCTGTTAATTTTGCTGAATTTAGTCAACCTTATGTTTAAGAACACTGCCTGCCTTAATTTCTTGGCTTTTTAATGCAGAAAGCTCCTAGCTCTGTGACCTCCGTTGCCGCTTCCTTTCATTTGCAATGCTGAGAATCCATTATCACTTTTCTTGTTAACTTTCTATTTATCTATTTGAAGGTTACTGAATTTGCTTATACTATAACTTCAATGATATTTTCCAAAATGAATTTTCTATCATCCAAACTATACTGTGTAGGTTACGGCAAATGTTTATGCTCATTTCTTTGAAACCTTAACCTGGCTGGCACCACTCTCTACATATAGATCAGGATTAACTGAGTAATAAGGCATGGATGCACAGTAGTTTCTTTAATAAATTCTTCAATACTGTGAGCATAGAAGAGTCTTTTCAAAGGATTTAACTTCAGGTAGACAGAAACTTTGGAAATATTGAGAAATGTCCACATTCTAAAACATTCACTGTTTAAAAAATGGTAACAAGCTTTATGGTATCAAGGAGATCCACATTAAAGACTTCCATATTTTCAATCTCCTATTTTCGCAAATTTCAGCATGATTGTTCTGGGGTTTTTTTCTTTTATTTTGAGGAGACTGGTTGTTTCACCATATTTCTTCTAGTCCTTGAATGGACCTTTTTTCTCCACTCTAAAATTGGGCATGTTTCAATTTTAGCCTGGATACTCTAATTCTCATTCTGTTAAACTTTCAAGGATAAGGATAATGGAGGATGGAATTGACCACATGAAAAAGGATGACATAAACAAAAAAGTTTTAATTTAAAACTGTATGAGAAGCTGGGAGTTTCAGGAAAGTAGCAGCGAAGGGAAAATACCTGTTTATTAGCTTCAGAAGAAAGATACAGAGATAAAATTAAATCAGAAATACATAACATTTTCTGGGAAAGGGAGACAGATGTGCTTTGGGAACCGGGAAAATACTGGTTAACTTTTAGTTGCGATCACACTTTGCTGGTGTCTATGTGAAGCAAATGCTTTGGCTCTGAACTTGTTTCTGCTGCTTTTATGTTTTCTACCTTCACCAACCTGGAGACAGGAGAATAAGGCAAATTCTGACTCCCTAGTGAGGGTCAATCAAATGACTTTTGCTTGTCTAATAAATACCGCTCATTGATAAACAATTTAATGTCTTTTAATTGAAAACTTCCTCCTAAGACCATAGAAGCCAAGTTCGGGGGCAAATTTGGAGAAAGTGGTCCTCATCCTATATTTCACTTCTCATAATTTATTCACTCACATGGTGAATATGGTGTTGGAGAGGGCCTAAGACATCATCAAATTACAATTATATTTGCTGTCATGTGAATGAAGCAAATAGTGACAAATATCTTTTCTTCCTAAAATAGTTTTAATGGCACAGGTCAATTCATTCTTTTTCTGAAGGTGCCCTAATAGATTTTCTTTTTGAAAAAAATTTAAAAATAACGAATTGTATGAAGAATGAATTAGTCTACATTTAGGTATCTTTTTCCCATGAGACACTGGATATTCACATTAGTAACTCTATACCTGAACACAATTATATTCTGTAGAGTCCTAGAATGTTAGTATTGAAAGGTGCTTAGAAACCACTGGTCCTTCATTTTGAAGATGAGGAAACTGAAGCAGAGACAGGCTGTGATTTCTGCAAGAGAGATACAATGAAAACCGAACTATAAATCTGAATTTCTTAGTCTTCCAACTCCCAGCCTGGTGAATCCTTCACTACACTATTTTGTCTTGATTGTGAACCAAGAACCATTTCCTAAGCCGGTTAAACTCACTCTATACATGCCTGGCCACTTCAAAACTTTGCTTGCATCTGTAAATTATATATTAGCATCTCAGAAACTGTGGAGTTCATATATCTGAGACATTTTGTTCAAGAGAAGCTACTATCTTACTAATCTATTAATTGATAGTTCTGGGAGAAAAGACTACTTCCAGTTGTATATGGGCACCTTAGTGAATTGGAGGAGTATCTGGGTGTGACACAGAATTGCCTAAGTATGGAAGCTAGAACAGAAAGTCCCCAGAAAAATTTACCTGCGGAGAAAGCCCCCTTTAACTGGTAGCCTTGATGAAAGTCCAGAACGTTGAAAGATTATAGACTTTGGAAAATGTAAATGTTCTATGTTCAAGGCCTATGATTTGTTCAAGGCCTATGATTTAATCAAGACCAAAAGACATGCAAAAAGGCTCTGGGACTCAGAACATGAGTCCTGGAACCCACGTCCACGCTGCTTCTACTTGGCACCCTTTATACAACTTCCCAGATGAAAACAGTAACTTAGGCCTAGCCCCACAAAAACCTCGATCAATAATTCCAGTGAAGTTCCGGTTTAGTTTAAGGAAGGACATGGTTCAGATATAGACTAGGATGTAGGCAGAACCCCATGAGGTGCAAACAAGGCACATACTTCAAGCTAGATTAGGACATTTAAGAGGGAAGTGTTTTGTTTTAACTAAGGATTTATTGCCATTAACACATTCGACCTGTACTAGAATGGGCCTTGGAGCGTGGAGAAAGCATCAAGTTGTTTAATCAATCTGGGAGTTAACACGGCGACTCCATCGCTAAATTCGTCGCCAAGTTCCCTCCCCGGTCCCGTCCCTGGGTGTGTAAGTAGCCCCTACTCCTGCCCCGGGGGAGAGCGATGGGTCCCGACCCTCAGGTGTCCCCGCGGGCTGGGGGGGCGTGCTTTCCGCTAGGTCCTTTCCAAACCCGCGCGGAGCTCCGGGCAGGGTGGGCCGGGGCGGGGCCCGGGAGCTCGGCGGGAAGGGCCGAGGGCGGCCCCGGTGGGCGGAGGGAGGCCGGGGAGGAGGGTGGCGGTCGGTTTTATTGTTTCCTTTCGCCCTCCTCCTCCCGCGCCTCGCCCCGGCGTCACTGGAAAGCCTCCCGAGCCGCCCGGCAGCGGGTTATTTATAGCGCGGGTGGCGCGCGCGTCACGGAGCCCGGCCCGGCTGACGGGGCCGCTGACGCGCTTGGCCGCGGGGCCGAGTCCGCGGGGCTGCACGCGGGGACCAGCGACAATGGGCTTCTGTGTGTGCAGCTGCCGCCGCCGCTGGGGGCCGGGGGAGGGGGGCTGGCGGCCGCTCCCCGACCCCTCTCCCTCCCGCCCGCGACCCCCGAAAGGTAGCCGGCTTCTTCTGCCCCTGGCCGGGCCCCGCCAACTGCTTTTTCCTTTTCTTTCTTTCTTTGTTTTTTCTTTTCAAATGTTATCAGTAAGTTCTCCTTGCCCTAGCCTCCGCTTCCACCTCCCCCATTTTCCCTCCCTGCCCCACAACCTGACTAGAGAGGGGGATTTAGCCGGCCGGGGGCGACCACTTTGTGCGTCCCGGAGAGCGGGACCCGCCCAAGGCGCGCCCAGCGGGGGAGCGGTGACCGAGGGGCCGGGAGCGCCAGGCAGGTAACGTATCCAGGACCTGGAGCGGGGGCTTTGTTTGGGGTCGGGGGAGCGGAGTGGGGTGGGTGTGGACGCCGGGCGGCCCTTCTGGGACTCCTGCCCCACCCCGCCCCCTTCAGCAGCGCGCAGGAAGCCAACCTGGGTATGTAGCGCGAAGAGCGAAAGAGAAACTTCTGCGTGACTAGCTCTCTCCAGAGAGGCCGAGATAATGGAGGACCCCCGCCCCCCACCCCGCGCCGCCCCTCCCCCGCCCGTTCCCACCCTTCTCTTCCCGCGGCCCCAACGCCGGGGACTTTGGAGTCCTCCCCCCGCCCGGCCCCGCGGGTTCTGTCCTCGAACGCCCCCGCCCTGCGGAAGGAGGGGCTGGCGAGGGTTTTAGGGACTTCCTGAGATGCGGAGACCAGCTCTGAACCGTCTCCTTTCTGCAGCCGGGAGCTGGGAAAGCTTGCTCCGGAGCCTCTCGCACGTGGCCGGCAGGCAGAGAACTTGCTGTGCCTTCTAGGAAACTGCAATCGATTTGTAATGCAGTTTTGCTAATTGGGAGTTCAAAATTAAACATTAATAAAGCATTTGTGTCGTCTCGTCTAATTGTGAAAGCTTCCATCCGTCCTGGTAGATAGACTCTAAGTCTCAAGTTAATGGCGCTAAACTAGATCCCTCCCCCTCCAAGTACAATTCCGTCAGGCGGCGTCGGCGCAGCTGGATTTCCGTTAGGTACAGATGTTGCTAATGGCAGCTTAAGCACGGATGGGCAGATAGCATACGGAATGCAACATGTTGCCATATGGTTCCTTTAGCCTTTCACCTCCAGGAATATCAATCACATATATTCTGGGAGGAATTTAATGACTCTCTGAACGGTAAAATGAATTACCTGGTACAATTTATATCCCTTGACCTGATACGTTATAACAACAGGAAGATAGCATCTCACAGTTCCTGTGGTATAAATTGAAATACAGAGCTACATTTCAAATTTTACAACATCTACTTGTAGTTTGAGGGGCTCTGTCAAATTATTCTGGCTGTAAAATCCGTTTTTTGTATTGTCCCCCAACTCTGGCTGATAGAAAATTTATAAAATTTAGCAAAACTGTTGGCAGTCAGCTGATCAGATACTAATCGATGAGGGAGAATATGACTTCCAGAGCTAGTTACTTAAGAGCAATCTTTTGGAACACCATACTTTAAGAACCCAGAAAATTAAAGGACCCCTAAGAAAAGTATGTATTCTGTTAGTCATTTCAGTATAACTCCTAAATCCATTTATTAACTATTTGAAACTCTGGGTTTTTATACTTCAGGAAAGTAACTTACAGAAAAATGTTCAGGAATATGAAATATAAGAAGGACCTCCTCAGCAAACTAGTTTCTATACCTCCTTCCCCCAACACACTCAACTGTTTTTACTTTAACTTGAATCCTGTATGTGGTGGTATAGGTCGTTTGTTTTTTTCCCCCCCATCAACAAGACAGTGACAGCATACTGAGGTTTCTGTTAGATCCTAGTGGAATGATTTCTGTAATATTTCACAAGTCTTTTAAAAAAAAATCTTGGTGACTAATAAAATGTTTAAATGATTGCCTCTAATTTCAGATTATAAACATGGTTGTCTTTTACTGTATCACTCCTTTTTCTTTCACTAATGCAGAGAAGCAGCACTGAAAAACAAGAAATAATTTAAGGGTAAAAAAGTAAAATAACTTGCTATAACTTTTTTTTTTTACTTTTACCTATTAAGGAATATCTGAAAGCCATAGACATACATCTTTTAAAAGATTTTACTTCCAACAATAGGTAAACCACATTAATTCATGTGAACTGATACACTGCGAAATATACAAAATAGACATAGTCTGAAAATGTATAAATTTTCAGTCATGTCAAATTTCAGAATCATTTTGAAATTACAACATAATATTTCTCCTTTTTTCATTTTCTAATGGCTGATGATTCGTTATCTAGTGCTTGAGTCAGGGCAATCATTTTAATATTTATCATATAAGATATTTTGTGTATATAAATGGCAGAAAATTTTATACAGAACAAATTAAGATCTGAGTTATGGCAACCTTTAATGGAGACTGGTTTTGGTAATCTTTTAGTGACTGAGACTATTTCTCTCTGTGGCATCAGCATTCGATGAGTTTTAACCTTGATCAGTGGTGAGTTTGTCAATAATGACTCCATATCCAAGACTTCTGAATAGGCAGGGAGTGTGTCCTTTAATCAGTCACACAGAACTCACCTTATAAAGCTGTTATTGTCATGAGCAGATATTGCAGGCTCTTTTCAAGCCCCGTGATTATTAATGTGGTCCTTCTTCAAAAGCCAGGCTGAAAGTCCTGCTGTGATTCATTTCAGAATGCAAGTGCATTAGTACATAAAATCCTAAGCAGCAATATTTGCTTTTTCTCAATTTACAATATTACATACATGTGAGCAATTTTGGGCCCATTTGTAGATAAAAACTGTGTATATTTGGTATACATACACAGTAACAAAAACAAGATACGTATCTTGCATCACGATTTATTTTAAATGAAGATTTGATGGATGTCCATTGTTACTCTAGATGAGGTGGCTGGCTGCCAAGGCGATCCCTATCGTTGGAAAGTACTAGCATTGTTAATTGTCTACCAGGGAATCACTTCTATTTTTTGATCTCCCAACTGCACCTACCTCTTTCAATATTGCCCTTCCATATTGCTAATCTGGAGAATTTGTTTGAATTTGAAAACTTTAAAAAATGTGTTTTCATTGGCCAAGATTCTCACCAGTGTTTCTGGTTGCCTGCCCCTTTACAGTCTTATCTTGAGCGGGCATATATATTGTAATTGAAAACAAAAAAATACTATTAGGACAAGGTATTATTTCCCCATGGTCTAAGTAATTTTAATTGTGTTGTAACCCTAACTGCTTTCTTATTTTTCATTTTGAATGTGTTTTTAAATATTTAAGATAGGACAGATATATGCCTTTCTCAAGGTACCATGGGACCAGTTATGGATAGGCATCAGGCCTCTAATAGAACACTTCATTCCAGTGAGTGGGAGTGGGGAGGAGAGCCATCAGGAAAAGTATATAGTTCCACAGCCCTAGCCCTGTTTGCCTTTCAAATTCAAAACCCACGTTGCTGCATTGGAAACTTGTTTCTCTCCTTTATAGCCTTTCATTAAAAACAATTTTTTTTAACTGTCAATCTGTAAATATTTAACCAGCCAAGCAGGAAACAGTCTTTCATTCTTGACTAATGCAGTTTTGTTTTTATCTGGGTTAGTGTGAGGGCCATGTAAATACCACATAGAAATTTGATTCAGTTTTCCTTATTTTGAAGAATGGCAGAAGCTTCTTTAATTAATCTTGTTCTCTTTCATGTTCTGTATTCAGATACTGAAATACAGTATTTTTACACATTTATAAGATTGTGTTTGCATTTATTTAATTTATGTTTCTTTTTTTAAAGCATGTAGCCTGGAATGTTTGTTCTACTTTTTTTTTTTTCTTCACATCATTACTCTGGTACTGCTTGATGTAACTTGATTAGCTCCCTCCCCAGTCATGATTGGTAATTAAAATAGGCATTAAAATTAGTCACTTAGCAATTTTGCTGTTCAATTGGCAATTAAATTACTTAATTGCAATTAAAGTCCTAATTTTAATTGGCAAAATGATAGATGTAGATTTAAGATAATATGTATAAATACTTTAATAAGTGTCTATATAAGGATTACTTAATTACTCAACTTCAACTTTATGCTGTTAACTTTAGAACTTAAAATTGAGCAATGAAATTTATATTACATCTATTCAAAGGATATGGTAATTAGATTTATTACTTATCACTACAAGGGTCCTTACTATACATTACTTTTGTAGTGTTCAAATTGTAGGCTTGATAATTGCAGAATTATGATGGAGAAAAGGGCATATATGCCTTTGTCATGGTATATCAACACCATATCTTCATTTTTTATTAAATTGAGAGGTTTCTATATGCCAGTTAGTCTGAAGGAAAAAATCAAGTGGTTATTTTATCATTAAAGGTAAAACAGAAGCTAGCCAGCCGAATATAAGAACTGATGCAAAATGTATGTATTTTGTCTACTAAAAGAAAATATATATATGTAATACTGTGATGGTTACTAATGTTCTTAGCTACTTTCTGAATTTCAAGTGTCCTTGATATTTTCTTAGCTTATAGCAACTAATTTTCAGAATCTTTAAAATGTCTTTCAGGACTTTGTCCATTTTAATGACACCCATGTTTACTGAAACTAGCAATGAAATCTAAAGCCAAAGTTAACCCTTCCTTGCTTAATCAAAAAAATTTCTTACCTAAGAAAATATTGATGGTTGCCAGGGGCTGGGAGAAGGGGAGAATGGAGAGTTAATGTTTAATGGGTACAGAGTTAGTTTTATAAGATGCAGAGTTGTGGGGAATGGATGGTGGTGATGGAGGCACAACAATGTGAATGTATTTAACATGACTGAACTGTACACTTAAAAATGTAAGATGGAAAATTTTATGTTACGTGTATTTTACTACCACCACCACAACAGAAAGAAAATATTAAGTGATTAATTTAAAAGCAAATATTTAGGAAATAGTTACTGAGAGTCAAGTATTAGAGAAAAGATGAAGTGTTTTTATTATGCAAAATACTTTTTGAGTGGCATGAGGTTTTACCATATGTTCAGTTTTATAATTTTAATTTACAAGTAGATGCTTCTAGAAAAGAAGAGTGCTGCTTTCTTCTGCACATCTTTACCCATTTGTAGAAGTGAGTTCTGAATCAAAGTAGGAAATAATTTTTAAAGTCTTTGCATTAAGTAATTTTGAGTGAAAAGTGGGCTGGATAAAACTGAGTAAAAGCCCCAACTACCCAAAATGTGAATTATCAGCTAGCAATTGACTTATTCCCTAAGCATCTTATAGAAAAGGAACAAATGATTGGTTACTTAATATCTTATTAATGCAAATGAAATGGCAAAAGCAAGAAACCAAAACTTTCCATATTAAAAAATGATTTTGTGTTTTCAGAAGCTGATTTTTTTCAAGGTGAAAATTTCTTTCTTTTATCACTAATATAAAACTTCCTGCCGAATGGCAACAAATGCCATGAAGTTTGTCCAAATATAACTTAAAATGTATCTCATTTTTATGCTTAACATAGGTTCCATTAGCTACTTTTATTATGAAACATCTTCAGTTACCTCGATTCTTATAGCATAAAAGTTGTGTCTGCTTATTATATTTGAATTGTAAGGGCCAAGGGCTACTCTGAGTACATTTTGGGATAATAGTGAAATCCCCAAAAGCCCCTTTCCCATGCATTAAGATAGAAAATCCTATGGAATTAAATCCATGCTTGCTCTCTAAATTATATCAAAAGCTCAGTTTTATTAAGTATAATCTTCTTAGCCATGCATAAAATAAAATACTTTAGTTTAGATGTATCATTTCTTTTTTAAAATAATCTTTTCTATACATGTACCAGTGTATTCAGCTTAGTATTGGTTAATATCATAAAACATAATATAGTAACATTACTTTTCTAAATGCTTTTTCTGAGGTTCTATAATACTATGTATATATATATATTTATTTATGTAACAGTTGATTTACAATATTGTGTTAGTTTCAGGTGTAGAGCTTCAGATTCTTTTTCATTATAGGTTATTGCAAAATATTGAATATAGTTCCCTCTGCTATACATAATATATGAATCCTTGTTTATCTATTTTATATATAGTGGTGTGCTAATACTGTATACTGAGAGAAATAATTTTGTAATTTATTTTAGTTGGTTTGAAAAGAAGGAGTACTTATGGATAGGACTAATTTTTACTCCTATTTATTTTAAATTCTTAAGAACACAGACCTTCATTTAGGGTTGCTTTGCATATTTATACATGGCAATGATTTAAAGTTATATCAGATTCTGGGCCCTGAAAAAACATTATTGTATTTTAATTGAGTTATAAAATACTTTGTATTCAAGAATTTATTCATGTTCAAGAATCTTGAAGGATTACAGTCATATAAATGCAGAATTTTAGTTTTCTTTAGCCTAAAGCATCATTTTAACATTTTCTAAAAGGTTGTTCAATTCTACATTTTGGTTCCATTATATGTGTAATTAAACCTCTATGAACAAAAGCATACTCTTATGTACTAGCAAATACACCCACAGGAATCCTCTTCTAAACTATAATTTATTTAAACATGTAATCATAGGATTTTAAAACATGCTTTCATTTTTCCAAACTATATGCCAATTTGAACTGCTTGGTGATAAAATGAGAGATTTTATTACCATTTTGATTTTTCTCCCTCCTGTGACCTAACAGTGAGCTAAACATAGGCAGGAGGAAATAAAGAAAATCTACTGTGAACCTAATTCCAGTGTTAAACTGTTTCCCTTTTTTGAGAAAAATAGAAGAGAATCAATGATTTGTACTTATTTATGAATTCCAGCAGAAAATGAATATTTGGGCCTGCAGCAAGCTCTCCTGGGGCTTGGCCTAAGTAGTAAATAGCTAGCTTTGTGCGTATGTGCGTGTGAGTGTGTATGTGTGTGGGGTGCATCTTCCTGAACGTTGTGGAGTCAGGCCCCCTACTGACAGGATCAGTCAATTACAGGCATTGCCGGTTCTCCTGAGACTTCTTTCCATCAGAATCTGGTGGGGACACAGGAGTCTGGAGTTTTGAGCGTGGTCGTTCTTTACACTTTCTAATGTCTACTGGATTCTTTCCACATCCAGAACATCCGAGTCCTACCCAAGATGCCAACCCAGGAAGCAGCTTACCTAATACTTGGTTTTAGTCGGTTTATCAGTCTTGCATCCGGTGTGTCCTCCTAAGAAGACACGCTTCCCAGGAACTAGAACAGGAATTTCTGAAGAGAAGAATCTTACGGATTGTAGAGTAGAAAGTGAAAAGCCACATCCCCCTCCCCTCATTTTAATTATATTTATTCAATCCATTTCTAGTTACTAATCATTCTTATAATAAGCTGCTGTGAAAACTGCCTCTTGATCTTGGGTGCCTTAAGACTTGGGCAAAGGCTCTGTTATCAACAAGCCAGACTCGACAGGTTGCTATTATAGAATAACGCATCACATTACAATGTTTGTCTTCCTTAGAACTCACTTTAAGAACTCCAGCACACTTTCCCACTCGCTGGGAGAGAATTTAGAAATTGTCCGCAGACTCAACCCAGGCTAAAGCCAAGTGTTTTTTAATGGCTTAAGGGAGGAGGAGCCTGTGGAGGGAACATAACTACTTAGATCTGGGTATTTGTGTATGCAGAGGGATGGTTTTAACAAAGTTCTCCCGGCCTCCGCTTTCCTAGGAATATATTAAAAAATAATAACCGCCACCCCAGCGTGGCTGCGCTTGAGTTTCCGACTGCCTGAAAATAGCTGCTGGGAGCCTGGCCCACTGCTGGGATCAAGGAAAGCTCCCCCAGGCCGCGCCCTGCTCCCTCGCGGAAGGGGAAGGGAACCCGGGAGGGCGCCACCAAGCTGGAGCTGCTGCTATTTTGGGCCCAGCCGGGCGGGTGCGTCAATGCCTGCGCCCCTGCGTCACCGCCACCCCCACCCCTTTCCTTCTCCCCTGCTCTCCAAACTCTCACTTTTTCCCTTTCGTTCGCATGGAATCGCTTCTGCCCACAGGGCGCTGACGCTACCCAGCTAATAAGCTATTCTTCGCCCTCCTCCCCTCACCCCTCTACTCACACACCCTCACCCGCCACCACAACATCCCCCCCAACACACACACACACACACCACACATACACACCACACACACACACACACACACACACACACACACACACACACACTTCCTGGTTTTATTTTTTTCTCGCGCCCGCTAGGGCACCGCTGAGCCTCAGCGGCAGCGGCAGAAGCAGCGGCAATCGCAACATCTGGGGGAAACTTAAGGTGGTCACGTAGGTTTTCCCGAGGCTGCGGCGCAGAAGAGCCTGCGGCTTCTCGGGGCAGCCGCGGGGCATCTGATGGCTTCGCCTTTCCGGCTGCCGGGAGCGGGCAAAGGCGGGGGTGCAGATTAGGGCTGAGGGGCTGGGGACGCGGAGAGTTCCACGGCGCTTTTGGCCGGCCAGTACTGGGAACACAAGCATGGGCGGGGGGTGATGCAAAGGGGCCCCCGTAGCCTGGAAGCGAGCCACGACGAGGGGGAGGGGCGGCTGGAAGTCTTCGCGGGCGGAGGAGGGGGACGCCTCCGAACCTTCCCTCCCCCCTGGTGCCTCCCTCAGCCCCATGGAGAAGCCCCGAGGCCCGCCAGCTCGGGCCCAGGGTGCGTAAAGGGGGCTCGCTCCCGGGAGAAGCAGTATTTCTTTGCTAGAAAGCGCCCTGCGCCCTCAGCGTGGAAGGTGGACTGACTTGTGAAGCCGAGTCGGCGGCGACTGGGACGGCCCTCCGGGGGTGCGGCGAGCTCGCCGCCCGCCAGGCCCCTCTCCTGGGAGGGCTGTTTGCACACACCGTACGCTTTGCAGAGATCTCACCCCTCCCCACGCCTTCCCCACGTTTAGTCTTTCCCTCTTGGCTCTCAGATTGAGGCTATGAGAGCCCTTGTGCTTCAGAGGAGGGTCAATTTATTTCTCTAAAACTCGGGGAAATGTACAAGTTGATGAGCACCCAGGAGTGTCAAAGTATGGCAAAAGGTGAGACTTGAGCACCTATCTGCAGAAGGCACACCTGTTGCCCGCTGCTGGGCTGCATTGTCTGCAAAAGGAAAGTGGGAGACTTTGGGGATCCCTGACGGGCTGGGTCACTGGCTACCCCCTCCTCTCCCCTCCCTCCTCTCCCCTCCCCTTCTCACGCACCACGTCCTCTCTCGCACGTGAGCACTACAAGGAAAGAAGGAAACAGAAAACAGGCCCTACCCACTCCCCTCTACCTTGGGGTGTGTG